AATAAAAAGTTATAGCCGGCTTCAAAAAACTAAAAAATAACTTTCTAGAAAAAGTAGAAGCTGACTTTAAAGAACTAAAAACGATATAATAATTTCCAAAAAAAAAAACATTTACTTCAGCGACTATAATATGATTATGATCACCATTACAGCTCATCTCAAGTCCACTGCCTTCCCCAGGGAGTGTCACAAATAAGAATAGAATATTTAAATATGCATAATGGCTTCACTTGCTTAAACATATAAACGTAGTTATTTTTACTTACTCAAATTAATAACGTTGCGTTGAACAGCGATCCTAATGTGACAAACATTTTTTAAATTTTTGTGCAAATCAAGAGCAATGAAGGATTTATGAACATAAGAAATTCGATATATTCTGAAGTTTTATTACAAAAAAGAGAAAAATGCGACTCAAGCCGAGAAAAAAAATTGTGACGTATGTGGATGTAATACAGTGTCAGTTAGATAATTAATAGAATCAAGCGTTACATTGCGGAAATCCATTATATTAAAGATGGTAAAAATTACCTTGCGTACATCTGCTCGATAAAATAAAATGATGTGTATTAGATAGCTTTAAGAGCACCTCCCGCCCTCCCTCAATTGCGTGCACTATCCCCGTCACCACTTATCCCAGCACCACTACTCCCAACACCACTAAACTAGGAAGGACACACCAATGACGACAATACGACACGTGTTTCGCCTCTACACGAGGCATTCTCAGGTGATGTAGACTCTGCGGTGGCTGACAGTTAAGTGAGCGGTGAGCCAAAACAACTGCCATTTATACAGACCTCTGACGCAACCGCTCCCTGCTTAAGGAGCTAAAGACCGTGTCATACGATAAAACATGCAGCCAATCACCGCCGGACTTACGCAGCGGTTTGTAAAATTAAAAACTAACCGCTGCGCAACGCCCGCCTACGTTCCAACCACGCAACCAATCCGTGAGGGTGACAAACGATCATATTGCGAGGCTGTCTGCTATTAGAGAGCAGGCTTAAAAATATTCAAGAGTGGTGATTTAGAAACATTTGTTTGTTCGTTCAGCAATGCAGCGTTAGTATTATTATTTTTAATATCTCTAACTGTTCCAGCACACACAGTCGCAGCACTTTATTACACATATGTAAGACTTTGAAGGAGTGGTCGTTGTCTAGATTGTGCCCAGTGTCCAAAAGATGTTTATCAAAATGGGATTTACCGGGATTGCAATTCCTGTACGCGGTTAAATGCTCTTTATAACGTGTTTTGAAGTTGCGACCAGTCTGACCCACGTAAACAGCGTGGCGTTCGTCACAAACAAGTTTGTAAACACCCGACTATTGACGAATATCTAACTTATCTTTAATATTACAAATAATCCTAAGAGAATTGTTTGTTTTGAACGCCACATAAACCCCGCTTTTTCGAAAAGCATTAGCTACTTTTTCAGATATGGGGCCTAAGTAGGTCAAACTGCTCATATATCGACGAACATATTGAGGTTGAACCGCGTACAGATAGTTGCGAACAACATGCTTTTGTTTCTTTTTAATTAAACTGTTAATGAGATCTTTTGAAAAACCGTTATAGACCGCTAATTGATAAATTATATTAAGCTCTTTTAAATCATTTTCTTAACTTAATGGGACAGTGAACGAAAGATTAATAAAAAGCGGCTAATTTATGTTGCCACGGATGACATGATGACGCGGGGAAGACCGCGTCGGTATGAGTTGGCTTTCGATAAAATTGGAAAATATCTGACGACTCTTTTCTTGTTATTGTTAAGTCGAGAAAATTAAGGGAATTGTCGTATATTATTATAATTATATAGGACATAATATTGTTCCAATTCAAGTTTAAATTTGATTTTGTCATGGACTCTATTTATTTTATTAAGGAAACCATCCAGTTGTCTCCTTGTGCCAGTCCAGCAAATAATTATATCATCTACATATCGATAGCAATATAAGATATTTTGATTGACAACTATATGTTTTTTTTTTCGAAATTATCCATGAAAATATTCGCCATCAGGGGACTTAGAGGGGACTCCAGAGCTAACCCTTTTTTGTAGATAGAAACGGTTAATAAACAGGAAATAGTTTTTTTCATACAGAAAGAGTTAAGAAGATATTTTGTTTCCCCGGAATGTAGACGATTTTTATCAAAGAAATCTGCGAGTATACGCAAACAGTCAGGAGATGGGACATTTGTGAAAAAACTATCAACGTCTTAAGATAACAATATAGATTTAGGAGGAATACGAATATCTTTAATTTTGGATATGAGATCTAAACTATTTTTTGGCTGTAAGTGGGGTTGAATCCAGTATTCTTTCGAAGGAGGAAGTTTAATTTTTTAGCAAGTAAATAAGCTGGTGCACCTATATATGAGACAACTGGACGAATAGGTACATGTTCTTAATGTTATTTCGGTAACTGTTGTAATAACTGTTGTATACATAGCTTAATATCCGAAGTAAAGTTTTTGGTTGAGTCAGACTCCAATAGTACAAAGTCATCACCTTGGATGACATCGTTAATCTTCTGGCTGTACCCACTACTCTCCATAATGAGAACAGTATTGCCCTTATCGGTTTTAGTAACAATAAGGTTGTTTTCTTTTATTCTCTGCTTTAGTGACTTAAAAACAGGGAACTCTGGATAGAAATGGGAAGACGCAGGCACAGCCCGAATTTCATTAGCTACCAAACTTTTAACGATGTTATTGTTCTTCCCGATCACAACGGCAATCTCCGCGTCGTCGGGCATAGACTCTAACGATTTTTGGGAGACCGAAGGTGTTAAATAATACTGTTATAAAGTTGTCATTTTTATTGTTATTGTTGTGTTGTATATCTTGCACAAATAATTCAAGAAATGTTATCAAATACCAAGGAATAAATTTTCATCGGTGAGTAAAATACTTAATAAAAAAATATTATTGATTAATTATCAAACAAATTATTTAAAAGACTCTCGGGCCATGAAATATAGATTATGAAATTAATTTGTTCAGATGCGACGTTTCTGTAGGTACTTAAGTGTGAGAATAATTGTGCATAAATCATTTTTTATCAAGTATTGATGACTAGACTAAATTTCTGATATTTAAATTTGCTGATTATTCTTTTATATTATTTTTAGGTTTCTACGTCCAAGGCATGTAAACAGGGGAAAATCATCCATTTTTAACTCCCCTGTACTCAGCATTTATGAAAGACTCTTATTCTAATCGAAATAAATATGTTTGTAAATTATATGTTATATCAATAAGTTTTGTTACAAATATATTATATATATATAAGTTGCCTTGGACATCATTAACAAAAAAATAAAATGAGAGCCAGAAGAGATCTTGAGCTGTTTAAATTCTTTAAATCATGTTCAGTCAGTGAACTAAAGACGATAGGTACAAAATAATTCAGTCTTACTTTTACAACTTATTTTTATACGTTTTGTATCAAATAACAGAAAGAGCAACAAGTAAAATACTTACTGTACTTAATTAATTATTTATTGTGAATATTATGTATACTGTATTTTATTTTGTACAAAGGGGTGCTTGCAAAGGCAAGCTCAGCGCCCCATCGGATCTTCCACCCTAGGCTCCAGCCTAGTTTGCCTGTGGGTAAATCAGGCCCTGACGATAGCACCTGCGCGTGAGAGGATTACCGGAAAAGAGAAAGGCGCGCGTTCAGTTCTCTGGGTAATAGAGAAAGATAAATATACTGTCCTACCAATAATTATTCTGGACTCTGTAGCAGACCACGTTTTAAATATACATGTTTTATAATATTTCTCAACGTACCCTACTGCATCGAACATTTATTAGTGTATTGTGTTGAGTTTACAATAAAAAGAATAATGAAGAAGTATATTTATGTGGTGAAAAGCCAAAAATTCCTGATTTTGATGAACAATTTTTTTAAGTTGTTATTTGAAAATTTAATTCCGTAATTCTTTAAACCTAAAAGTGTACACCAATGCCGTATGCGTCATTTTTTTTTTTGCCGTTGAACTTTTTTAAATTGAACTTTTATAATTACATTCACCTAATGTATATTGTCAGGCGCTAATAAAAAATGTAAATAAGGATTTTAGGATCCGAAATAAACTTCCGTTGAGTTTATTATAAAAAGAGTTTATTATATATAATCGATAATAAGTTTTTTGTGTAGTAGTAATGGTTGACAATTTAAAAATAAAATATATTTTTATAACAATTAGCAGATTTATTTTTTTTTTCAATTTTTAACTGTTTAGTATTTAATTTAACGTTAAATTTTATTTAAATTGTTTAATATTTAATTATTTAATTTTTTATTTGGTTAGTACTCGTATAATATACGCAATTTTAAAAAGTAAGTCAATATTACTTGAATTTTGTTAGTATAATAAAAAAATTACAATTTTATTATAACAATAAAGCTATTTTTTTTTAAAGTGAATACTACTACGTGGTATGGTCCAAAATAATTTTTAGTGGGAAAATATATTTATCTTTCTCTATTACACATAGAACTGAACGCGCACTTTCCTATATTCCGGCAAGCGTCTCACGCGCAGCTGCTATCGTGCATCCTTCCTACCGCACTTAATAATATAATATATAGTGTTCTCTGTCAAGCTCTACTTTAAAATAAATTATTGAATCGTTAGATCGTGTCAATCACTAGTCTTGCCACGATTTGAAAAGTCAACAATATACCATTGAATTCGCAATAAAATATCTATATTTACACATTTATTTTCTTAGAAAAAACAATGAGGGTAAATTACTATATCAGTTTACCTGTTTACGCCAGGTAGGGGCAGTACGGAAAAAGTACCGAAGGCTATTAGCAGCTCTTCGGCTCCTATCTCAGGAGCCAAAGAGGCCTTTTTTGGCAGAGGTCAGAAACCCTGGGACGACATTCCTGTGCTCAAACCTCCCCCAGTTCCGATGGCAAAAATACGCAATTGGTCTGAGGAGGAGCGCCCAAAGACCAGCCTAGGAAATCTGTAATGCTGCAACGGGGTAGAAAAAAGGCACCAGGATACGATGGTCTCACGGCTGACATCTGTGAAGTAGCAATTACTCTGGATCCAACAATGTTTTTGGCGCTGGCCAATAAGTGTCTCAGTCTGGCATACTTCCCCAAAAAATGGAAAGAGGCAGTAGTAGTAGTGCTGCGGAAGCCGGAGAAAGTAGACTACACACATCCCAAGTCTTATAGACCGATTGGACTGCTCCCTGTCCTGGGAAAATTTTTTGAAAAGATGCTAGTTAGAAGGGTTAAATGGCACATTGTACCCAAAATCAGCCTGAAACAATATGGTTTCATGCCACAGCGCAGTACCGAGGACTCCCTCTATGACATGATACGGATCATAAAAGATGAGCTAAAAAGGAAAAAGCTAATCATATTAGTATCTTTGGACATAGAGGGAGCCTTCGATAACGCATGGTGGCCGGCAATAAAATGCAGACTAGCAGAGACGGGGTGTCCGAAAAATCTAAGGCGCCTCATAGATAGTTACCTGGAAGATAGAACAGTCTGCATTAGGTACACGGGAGCGGAATGGGCCAAAAAGACTACAAAGGGATGTGTGCAAGGTTCTATAGGGGGTCCTTTATTCTGGAATTTGCTCCTTAACCCACTATTAAAGGAGTTAAACGGCAAAGAAGAATATTGCCAGGCTTTCGCAGACGATGTGGTCCTGATTTTCTCCGGGTACAGGGCATCGGAAGTGCAGGATAGAGCCAATACAGCCCTCGAACGTGTTCAGAAGTGGGGAGTCAAAAACAAGCTTAAATTTGCGCCGCAAAAACGAAAACCATGGTCATTACGAATAAGATAAAGTATGACTCACCACTTCTGAAAATTGGCGGGAAAGATATTGCATTGTCCAAGGAAATGAAAATACTCGGACTTACGATAGATGACAGGTTGTCCTTCAACACATGTGTGAGGAATGTGTGTTGTAAGGTACAAAACCTATATTGCCAGATATCGAGATCCGCTAAGATCAATTGGGGCCTTAACCCTGAGATTATCAGGACCATTTACGTTGCGGTGACGGAGCTAATTATTTTGTACGCGGCTAGTGTATGGGCACCGGCAACATACAAGCTAAAAATCAAAAAGCAGCTCGACATGGTACAACGGGGGTTCGTTCAGAAAGTTATAAAATCTTATAGAACCGTATCACTACACTCGGCCCTGCTACTCGCTGGGCTGCTTCCCCTGGACCTAAGAGTTCGGGAAGCAGCCTTACTTTATGAAATAAGGAAAGGCTTCTCCCAGCGAGTGGTAGTGGATCGAGATGTGGAGAGAAAAGTAGAATACTGTAAAACACCTCACCCCGCGAATCAGGTTGGGCTGCAATTTACATGCCTGGATGACTGTGCACAAGTTGAACAACATGATAATAAAAGTCTCAAAATTTACACAGATGGCAGCAAGATCGAGGGGAAAGTCGGGCACTGAGTTATCTATATAGAATGACGCAGCGGAGACAAGTACCCGAAAAATGAAGATGGAAAACTTCTGCACAGTCGACCAGGCGGAATTGCTGGCCATATTTGAAGCTACAAAACACGCACTTAAGGATCAGGCCAAGAATTGCAATATTTATAGCGACGCAAGATCTGCTCTCCAGACAGTTGTCCAGACCGTTTCTCTCCATCCCCTAGCGGCAAAAATTAGAAAAAATATTTCGGAAGCACAAAAACAAGGTAAATCTATTAAATTATTTTGGATTAAGGCACACGCAGGATTGGAGGGAAACGAGAGAGCAGATCAATTAGCAAAAGAAGCCGCATTAAAAATAAAAATAAAACCGGAATATGACAAGTGCCCGGTTTCATTCGTCAAGAGACAGATCCGACAAGACTCACTTCACGAATGGAACCGACGTTACATGGAAGGCGAGACGGCCTCTGTAACAAAGACATTTTCCCCGATAGCATAAGCGCCTATCCTATTATAAGAAAGCTAACATTAGACCCACTAATGGTACATGTGATGACAGGACATGGCGGGTTCTCACAATATTTGCATCGGTTCAAGTGTCGGTAGAGCCCGGCATGTCCCTGTGATCCAAATGAAGAAGAAACTATACTGCACATAATAACAGTATGTCCCATGTATAATAAGGAAAGGAATAACATAGAAATGGAATTAGGAATAAAAGTAGATAAGGATAATATATGTCAAATAATAAGTAATAAGCACAATAGAAGTAGGTTTTTAAATTATTGTAAGTTAATAGCAAATAAAGTAACTAAGAGGAATAAATGAAATTAGTATTAAGAGATCTGTAAATTATATTTAAGAATATAATGTAAACAGCTCCACCAATCTAGCAGAAAAGTAGATCAAAGCAAAATGATAAATGTAGATATAAATGTATTAAGGATGTGAGATATATGTAAAATAAGAAAAAAGAACCTAAATAAGGAAAAGTCCCTGATCTCTGTGTAATATATATAGAGGTATCAATAAGTAAAAGCAATGTAATATTGCTGCATGAACTAGATTAAGAGTAGTAGGTCTCCCGAACGAAAACCCGGAGTTCTCTACAACCTCTATAATATAAAGGACAAGATATAAAATAAAACTTAAAATTCAAAGTCCGTGTCAAGCTGAAAATGTCTCTGACCTCCATGTCAGCGGGAAACAGCAAAACATACAAAAACGGGGTAGAAGAAGTTCAGCTTTATTGCCGTAGCTGACTCCGCGCGTGTAGGAATTTTCAATTCGAATCCTATGAGCATGGAGCAGATGCGGCTGGTCCACCGAGCATTAACGCAGGCTATTACTAAAACGGCCTGAGGAGCGCAGCCGGGAATGGGACCAAAAAATTCGGGTTTCACCCACAAACCAGGTTGGATTCTGGTAACGTGCCTGGATAAGGCAAGCCAGGACTGGATTGTGGGTGAGATAAACTGAAACCCTGGCTGGAGGCAGAGCTCTCGATAATACCCGAGAGCGAACTGCCTAAGCCTCAACTGGGCATTACCTTTTTCCATACTGAGCTCTGGAAATTCCTTTACCGTAGGGACTAGGAGAATGGGTTCCTAGTAACCTTTTCTCTGGACGACCCATCGGCAGAAGCCAAAGATGACCGCTCTCCGAGCGGCAGGCGGCAGAGTCATCTTTGACTGTAAAATGATAATTTTTAATGTCAGGGGAGCCTCTGATGCGGCAATGGAGCCTGAACCGTTCCAACTCCAATCAAGCGAAACCTGGTGCAGTAGGCTGTTGGCTCCTTTAAACCATATAACTGGTTCGGGTAGTTAAACAATATAGACATGTTTTATTTACTTCGCGAAGTAATAAATAATACAGTGGTAAAGTTATGTTAAAACGTCTAATTTTTTGCATAAACATACAGTTAACTAAGTGACCTAACTTATAGTGTAAATAACTTACTTCAACCTATAAAGTATTCGAAGTTAACAGACAAATTAATTTCGAAATTAAGTCAAATAACGATTGCTGTATGCATCGCTTCGAGTTACCGCGTCTCGTTGCTGTGTGTGAGTCATAAAATAATATTATCATATTGCTTTGTGCATCGGTCAAATGAGTAATTTCACTTGCTTTTGTGCTGCGTTCGGTTTTATATGACGACAAAAACGAAGTATACTACTTTTAGCTCATTTAAGCAATTATGCCACAAGCAAGAGTGAAATTTGGATGTTGTGAAAGACAGACGTCAACACCTAATACATTAAGCTGTTACTCCTGTAAAATTAAATATTATCTTAACTCTGTCAACATAAAAAAATCATTAAAAGACTTACCGGAGGAATTCAAATCTAAATGGACTTGTCCATGTTGCCGTAGTAAGATACCATAATTTGTCAATACTGACACACCAATTAAAGCAACTACAAGTCAACCTGAGTCGGACAGTGAGGACTTCTCAACAAATGTAAACTTAAGAAGGGGTACAGTACAAAAGGCGGAAGTATCAGCCGATAGCATACGGCAAATTGTTAGAGAAGAGCTTGAATGTATTTTCGAAAGTTTCAAAACCAACATAGTTAAACAGTTACGAGTTAAAAACAAAGGAAATTCTCGATAAATTCAATCAAATATCTGAGTCTATGTCCAAAGTTGAAAGTCAACTAGAACATCATTCGACTTGAACAACATTCCAGGGCCAGCAATCTCGAAATACAAAACATCCCTGAACATAAGTCTGAAAATTTAATCACAATTGTTAAACAAGTTGCCAACATAGTTAACTGCAAGTTGGTGGAATCAGATATTCAACTGTGCACTAGAGTAGCTAAAGTAAATAGGGATAGCCGACGCCCTAGATCTGTTGTAATAAAATTTGGTTCCCCAAGATTACGTGATGATTTTTTAGCTGTTACACATAGATTTAACAAAACTGCTAAGAGTCAGAGTGAAAAACTCAATAGTAGTCATCTCGGCATTGGCGGTGACAAGCAGCCAGTATTTGTCGTAGAACATCTGTCACCCTCCCAAAAGGAAATACATGCTGCAGCGTGATCTAAGGCAAAAGAACTCAACTACAAATTTGTCTGGGTCAGGAGAGGAAGAATATTTATGCGTAAGACTGAAACATCTGAGTACAAATTAATAAAAAACTTCCAAGAATTGTCTGAATCAAATTAGTTGTCATAGTAAACTTAGTGTATAGAGGTATTTTTTTATTTTGTATAATCTGTTTTGTTTGATTAACTTGTATGTTGTTAGATCATTTAAGCATATATTACCAAAACGTAAGAGGCTTAAACACAAATGCAGTAGAGGTATGTCAACATATTATTAATAGCAAATACGATGTTTATATATTCACAGAAACCTGGCTAAATAACGGTTGCTATGATGCTGAAATTTTTGCCAGTGGCTATGTTGTTTACAGACGAGACCGTGAAACCTCTCCTCTATCAGGGTTGAAAAAGGGCGGAGGTATGCTTATTGCTGTATCCGGACGACTCGCGTCAAGGCGTATCGTAAAGTGGGAAACTGATTGTGAAGATGTTTGGGTGTCGGTTACATCTAACTCTACCAAAAACCCAGTTAAAATACTACTATGCGCTGTGTATTTACCCCCTCCAGTCACTAAACATACTTTAGACATTTTTATAGATAAAGCAAATGGTATACTGGGATCCCGAACTGATAGGGAGTACACACTTATTGCCGGTGACTTCAATTTGAGTGGAATAACTTGGCTAGGCAATCATAGAAACGACACCTTCAATCATATGTTACCATCAGGATTTGGTGGCAATGAACTTTTGTGTAAATTTATTGATTTTATAAGTCTCAATAACTTAAAACAATTTAACTGTGTAACAAACATAAAAATAAGATATTAGATTTGATAATTTGCAATAAAAAAGTCTTGGATGTTGTGGAGACACAAGATCCTGTAAGAAATATTGACAAGTTTCATCCTCCACTTGTAATTAAAATGAAAATCTTATTGGAAAGCAATAGAAAAGTACGTCCTACCAAACGTAATTTTTATAAAGGTGACTATAACGCTATAAATACTTATCTAGAATCGGTGTCATGGGAGGATGAATTTAATTCCTTTAGTAATCCTAATAAAATGGTAAAAAGATTTTATGAACTGCTAAACTATGCAATTGAAAAGCATATTCCTATGACTAAATCCGTTCATGATTCTTATCCTATGTGGTACTCTTCTCATTTAATCAATCTTTTAAGACAAAAATATAGATACCATTAAAAAATTAAAAAGTATAAAAATCCACTAGATCAAATAGAATTTGAATATTTAAGAGAAAACTGTAATAAGGTGATGAAGGAGTGCTATAATAAATACATAAATGCAATAGAAACAGATAT